ACGCAGTTACGCTAACGACTGACGTTACGGGGATTCTTCCATATGCAAATATTGATCAGAGCGTGGCTTTGAAAAGTTATGTTGATGCACAAACTGTTCTCGCCGGTACAGGACTTTCGAAAACAGGGGTCACATTGGCAGTTCTTCCTTCACAAAGTCAAATCACAACGGTCGGAACCCTTACTTCCCTCTCAGTTAGTGGTGCATCTACATTTTCTGGAGCGGTAACGATTCCTGCTCCCACCGTCGCATCAAACCCAGCAACAAAATCATATGTGGATGGATTGATTTCTACAACATCCGGAAATGCTCAACCTCTTAATCCTAAATTAACTGTTATTTCCTCATCTACCCCAACTGTTAATAATTTTCTCGTAGGAGATGGAAGTAATTTTGCCTCAACGACTCCATCAGCATCTAGAACAGCACTTGGGCTCGGTTCCGTGGCGTTAAAGAACACCATCACGCTCACAACAGATGTGACAGGTATCTTGCCTCTCGCCAATATAGACGCCCAAGTAAGCACGAAAGCCTACGTCGATGCTCAGACATCAACAGTTGGCGCAGGATTGTCAAAGTCAGGCACGGCCATTTCAGTCAACACGGACCAGTCGGCTGTTATCACCAAAGTTGGAACTCTGCAGGGGTTGAGTGTTACAGGCGACGTGACCATATCAGGGAACGCCATCATCTCGACAGCCCCAACAGCAGATACACATCTCACAAATAAGACTTATGTTGATACGCTTCTAAGTGCAGGAACCGGCTTAACACGAACAGGAAACAATTTCTCTGTCAATGTGGCTCAACCTCAGATAACATCGGTTGGAACTTTATCATCATTGAACGTTAATGGAAATGCGAACTTTGCTGGAGACTTAACGTTGTCAGGAAACGCTGTCGTCTCAACAGCACCGACATTGGGGACACATCTCGCGAACAAGACATATGTTGATACGCTTCTTAGTGCTGGAACAGGATTGACACGTAGTGGAAATTCGTTCAGCGTAAATCCTGCTCAGCCTCAAATTACAAGCGTTGGAACTCTATCATCTCTGAATGTTGGTGGAAATGCGAACTTATCCAATGTTCAAATTGCCGGAACGACTGATTCTACGTCGACAAATTCAGGTTCGCTCCAAGTTGTTGGCGGAGTTGGTATAGGGAAAAGTGTGGTGGTTGGCGGCACCGTATTCCTGGGCGGAACAACGGCGAACCTCAATACCACAACCGGACAGAATCTGAACATAAATAACGCTGCATCGACTGTAGTTACTTCTACTCTTGACTCCAACGCTATAAATGCTGGTTCTCTCCAAGTTGCCGGCGGCGTTGGAATTGCTAAATCATTATACGTCGGTGGATTTGGAATCATAAAGGAATCTACCGCCGGAAACGGCCCTACTATAGGTCTGATAAACTCAAACGGTGGAGGTTGGACCTTGTGGCATATAGGTCAAACTAGTGGCCTTGGAACTAATAATTTCGGCTTATACAACAATACTGCCGCAAATCTTGCGTTATCGGTGAATGTGACAACGAATGCACTAACTATCAATTCGGTATCCGACTCCAACGCTACAAATGCTGGCGCTATACAGGTCGCCGGAGGTGTTGGTATCGCCAAGAAATTGACGGTAGGAAGTGATGCGAGTTTTGTCGGGTCAAATCAAAGTATCTTTTGGTACAACGGTTCAGTATCATCCCCCACATTCGGAAGCAGCATAACGGGCAACGTTTCAGCAGCAGGGTATTTTTCCTCAAACTCGGCTCTTGGCGATATGGTGATTAGGGCACAGTACAATAATGCACCGACGAACTTACGATTCGCTAACTCACCCGGCGTATCAAATCTTGATATCTTGACAAATGGAAATGTTCTAATCAATACGACAACTGATTCATCTTCTACAACAACAGGTGCTTTGCAAGTGTCTGGTGGCGTTGGAATTGCAAAATCTCTATTTGCTGGGTCTTCTGCCACTTCCAGTCATACTTTGCAACTAAACTCCACTACAACTGATGTTCTCAAGATCCAGAGTCTTTCGGCATCGGGGTTTTCTACTATCGGTTTCCTTAACAACACAGGAACGATAGTTGGGGCTTTCGGGTATGCTGGAACTGGTACGAACGCTCCAAACGCTGGGAACTTTTTCCTTTATTCGGGGTCTGGCGCTAACTTTGTGATAAACAGTAATCTCCCCAGTGTACAGATTCTCTCCACTATAGATTCTACTTCGACAACATCAGGTGCATTTCAGGTGAGAGGTGGAGCGGGTATCGCAGGGAATGTCAATCTTGGTAAAGACTTGACTGTTAATGGGACAATATACTCCAATATCGTCTCCACCGGGCCTGTTGTATCTTCGCATCTCGGAACACCTAATTTGGCAGCGGGGAGTTTCACGACTTTACAGATTGGAGTAGGAGCGGCTACAAATAACATGGCCAGGGTATATTTCAACTATGTTGGAGCGGGTCTTGCAACCAATACGTTGGGTTTGGGATTATGGAATGCACCACAAGGTCTTACAGTGGACGGAACAGGTAAAGTTTCTATTCCTACCGGTTCTATCGGCAATTTGACAGTTTCAGGAAACATGAATTTCACCGGAAATCAAGCAATAATTTCTGCATCTGGTTCAGCAGGTCCTCTCTCCATAGATCCGAACCAAAGTTCCAACCCTTATGTACGGGTATGGGACGACTTGAGAACTGTAGGAGATTTTTCCGTATGGAATTCAGCCGAGACCACTACTTGGTTTAAAGTCTCCACCAGCAGTGGTAACGTCGCGGTCTTTACCACAACCGATTGCACAGGAGTTGGATCAGGCGCTCTTCAAGTGTCTGGAGGCGCCTCTGTGGCGAAAAACGTATATGTTGGGGGAAATCTGAACAACAGTGGTACTGTATCGGTCTTGAACACTTCTGATGCAACTTCTAACACATCGGGCGCTCTTCAAGTGAATGGAGGCGCATCTGTAGCGAAATCTCTATATGTGGGGTCGAATCTTAATGTGACCGGGGACTTGAAAACTCCTGCCTTAAATTCTGTCACAACTCTCGTTCCATATCCACAGACGCCAGCAACAGGTCAATCATGGTCCGGGTATTCAGTTATTGGTTCTTCCGAATACACGTATGCAAACGGAAACGGTGTAGATGGATATACGGGACATGTTTTCGATTGTTATAGTAATGCAAGTATTGCTTCCAGACTGCGGTGGGCAACCGCGAGCACTTCGACAGCAAACCTAGGACTCGATTCAACAACACAGAGTTTGCATTGGTCGTTATTGAGACTCCCGTCGGCCATTGCTATGGCTTCTCTTAAACTCACCGCCTACCTGATGGACGCCGTGGCGATGCCTACTACGTTCTCCGTGATTGCCGGAACAACCGAGTCGGCTATGGTAACAATCGCAACGTTTTCGAATATACCTGGTTCTACTTGGACCACTGATGGGAATACGTTTAGTTTTGCAAACACCACGCCTTATGTAGTATGGGGTATCGCATGGCAGTACGCGAATCAGACAACAACAGGAGGGGTCGCTATCCGCCAGATTCAGTTCAATCAGGCTGTTCCGAAAGCGACCCTTGTCAGTGCTTCTGCAAACAATATAGATGTTTCGGGTGCGATAACTACGGGAACCGTTTCATCAAGTGGTTCAGCAACTGTGAATTCCTTGACATGCAATACAACAGCCTTGGTAAAGAATGATTTGACTTGTAGTACGAACATCTATGCTTCACAAATCATTCAATCTGCAGTTTGCATAAAAGACGGTGTTGTTGATGCGTTGTTGACAAACGCAAATGGCTACACGGGGGGCTTCGGTCCCATAAATTGGAAAGCAGGTATGTCGGGAGTGGTCGCGCATGTTTCCTTTATGGGGTATATGAATTCGAATAACACTCGGGTAACAATAACTGTTCAAATATTAGACCAATCTTCTACCGTAGTCGCCTCTAGAGCAGTCTCGTACTACTGTGATATAAACAATTATCAGACTCGCTACCCATTCAGTTTTCAAGTGCCGTTGCTGTTTTCTTCGACGAATACGCAACTTTCCGCACGAATTGTCATACCAACTTCTATAACATTATCAAATTCATATCTCAACTTTTGGACCCAGTGCTACTAAATCTCGACATCAAGTACACAGGCTCGATGGTCTTTGTCTGTTCCACATAGCATTCTCAGTTGTCCCTTATCGTCTGTGATCCCTAGATACCCGCTCTTGAAAATGAAATCTTTACGGAGACGATTATTTTTCTTATTAAAAATGGTATAGATCTGCTTAAAAATCTCCCGATTTTCGTCATTTACTTTGATATATGCCATATAACCGGGTTTGTTTAACATAGACCGACATATTCGTTCCAGACTATCGAGGTCTGCTACGACAAAACGAATAACAACAACTCCCTCTATACACTTGATATGTGAATTGATTTCAAAAACGTTTGGCATTGTTTTGACTTCGCTCAAGAAATTGACTTTGGCTGTTCAAGAAAATGCGTCCACGGTATTTTGGGATGAATGGCAACAAAATCGCCCCCACCACTGCGGAACCGGTCTCAACAAAATCACCCCCACAAATTTGAACTACGTCTCGAAATCGCCCACTCCAAAATTATGCAAGGCGTCCGGAACAAAACACCCCCATTGGGGGCGATTTTTACGAACCTCTTTACGTTGGGGGTGGGCGATTTTACAAAGCCCATCACACGAACGGCGGGGGCATTTTGAGAAGTGGGGCAAAGTGAAAATGCCCCTTAGAGGAACGTAGAGAATTAGGAGGATGAATAGTATTCAGATACCTACTTGACCGTTTATAGATTTGTTTCGAGTTCAATGACCGCTGATCATGTCATATAACCTCATTTCTTGACAGTTGATATCGAATGTAAGTTGTTATCGGATTTGGTTTCGGTCCCACACCAAGATTTATATAGAAGCGACAAGGTGCAGATTGGAGACGTGAGCATTAAACATGTCTTTCTTCAATAAATCGCTTGTCAAAAGGTTAACGGGAGTTTCGCACCGCGAAAAGATGTCCGACGAGGACTTCATAACTCGCTGCCGATTCATCACTGGTACGATAATGGGTTCAGGTTGGGAATGCAAAGAATACGAACGGGACTTTTGCAGATTCAATTCCATCATGAAACCTGTCTGGCGAAAACTATACGACCGTTGGATTGAAAACGAGAAAAAGGAATGGGCTTGCTTTGACAAGCCGGGAAAATTAGAGTTTGTCAAGAATAACGCTGTCACAGAGAGTATCTCCATGCCCAACGAGTGGGCCTTTGGCACTGGCAAAGTTGAAGAAAATAGTTCAGAAACCACTACCGCTGCCGTGCGTGATAAAGCAGACTAGAGTTCTGAGGGAAAGTAATGATAGGTTTCAATGTAATGTAATTTTGAAAAATGAAAGAATGTTCGTATAGGTGGATGTCACAGTAGAAGTATGAGTTTGTGTACTGTGACATTTACTGTGACGGTCTCGACAAATGTAGTAAGATATTTTTTTTGTTTTTTAGAGAAGGAGAGAGTTTGATGGAGTTGGTACAGATGGTACAGATGGTACAGTAGTTTTTAACTTCTTTAGAAAAATGGAATGGAAAAGGAAAAGGGGAGAAAAGAAATGAAAAGTACCTGTATCATCTGTACCATCTGTACCAAGTGTAATGACTCGGTGAAAAGGTCTCCATATGTAGTAATGGAAGAAGAGTATTCTACTAGATATGTCGAGTGTGCGAAGCGGGTGGTACAGGTGTAAGTGACACCTGTATCATATGTACCATCTGTACCAAGAGTTTTGAAAAGAAGAATGAGAAAAGGATGTCTCTTTTTGGTGGTGAGAGTTGGTTCGAAAAATGCCTTTTTGCCCCCCTACATAGAACAGGGAATGGGGAAGTAGTAGAAAGGTTGGTTGGACTCGACGCATGTAGGGGGGAAATTTGACTTTGCCCCCTTTCCCAAAGTGCGCAAGGGTGGTTAATGGCTGAAAGGCTTGTGCGGTTAATGCATAACACCGAAGGTGTAGGGTACATTGTTAATACATTACACCATACACCCGCCAGTACGGTTAATGCATTACACTTTCAGCAGCCGTTACGGTTAATGCACAGTGTTGAGTGGAGTCAGTACGGTTAATGCACAGTGCAATTGTATAGTGGATCAGTGCATAGCATAAACCAATGGTTTATGCTATGCACTGATCCACCGCTCCTTTCCTGGTGGCAATATGGGTAACGTCCGAAAGTAGTATGATGTCCCCATGTGTTTGTGCCGTTCCATCCGTTACAAGTTCGTGTCGACGAGCCAAGCCCCAAAAACCAACCAGCAACATGGTCCAGTGGAGGCGGTGGTTATGTTTATCCATATTCAACCGAAGCTTGAGCCGTGCGAGATGTTGCAATGTAACGGGTGTAGATTGTTGAACCGGTGCAGGAATAGGCGCCTGAGCAGCGGCGATGGAGAGGCGATGACGAATGAGCTCGTTTTTGTATAAGTGCTGAAAAGGAAAACCTAGAGAGTTATGATAGTCTTTCAAGGCGCAGAGAACCTTATTGACAGAGGACGCAAGGATCGGCCGCTGCCCACCGGTTCCCAAGATGCGATCGATTTGCCAGAGAATGTAGCGTTCGAAATTCTCTGCGGAGATCGGGAACACGGTGCCGTCCAAATTTACCCAATTGTGGGCCCGGGCGAGGCGCTCGTACGCGCGGACGTCTTTCGCGTACGAGGGGTTTCTTGAGGTCATTCCGCATCGCACTCTCCAGCGTGGAGAGCGCGAATACGTACCCCCGAGGGCGTGTGTTGGAGGTAGGAGGGGAAAAGGGGCGTGCGGACGGTCTTGTCGGGGAAACGGGCTTGAAACTCGGCGATCTTGTTACGCGTCAGCGAATCGCATCCATCCAGGTATGTGCGCGGGAGATGGACGAGACGTATGTCGAACTGCAGGGGCACGGCGGCGTGTGTGATATGTCGGATAGCTAGGGTAGAAACGACGTTGGTGCTGTGACCATTGACCCACGCGGCGACGTTGGTCTGGCTATCGGTTGCCCACAGAATCTTGGCGCGGGATAGCTGAGGCCCGAAAGTTTCAACGCCGATGCTGATGGCTACCAGCTCGAAGGCGGAGGCAGTATCCAGCTCCTTGTAGCAGTGTGCGCACCATGTACCGTGGATGTACTCGGTGTCTGTGCACACACCGAAGCCGCCGACACCGCTATCGCTGCCGAAGCCGAGGGTGGTCGAGGAGCGCCACTCTTGTTCGCTCAAGAGAGAGGTGCCTGACCACTGCGCGAATAAGTCTTGAAACCATGCCATGTCTTGTTGGAGCTCGCATGACAAGCGGGCGAATTTCAAGCGTTTGTCGTTGACGATAGCTGCATACTTCCAAGCGCGCGCGAGGAAGGTGCGCCCAAACGGGATGATGGAAGAGGCCCAGGTGAGGATGCCGAGAAGTCAAAGGAAAAGCTTGGATGGCACATGATCGGCACTGAGTGTGTGAGAAAGTAAATCCATGAGGGTGGTGCGTTTGCGTGTCGAGATGGAGATGGACATGGCGGGAATGTCCAGGAAGAAGCCAAGCAGTAAGACTTGCGGCCCCCAGAGGTCTTTACTCGGGTCGAAGGGAATGCCGAGGATTTGAAAGATCCGATGGACTTGTGCGCGTGTAGCGTCGATGCGAGATCGTGGGACGGCGCCGTAGAAGTTATCGACGAAGTGCCGTGCGTTCCCGACCCCGAAACGGTGCAAAATCCAACATACGACATCCCCGAAGCGGCAGCAGTGAAAACCTGACGCGCGGTTGCCGAACTGGGTAGCATGATCGATGAAGTAGCGCGCTGCGTACAAGATGATTTGGAGAACTTGATCTGAAGGTCGGCAGGGTTGCACGCGATAGGCTGCCGTCGTGTCCGTCATCCAAATGTGAACGTTATGTGGTCCGTGAGTCTTGACGAGGGTTATAATTTCTTCGATGAACGGACCGATTTGATCGAGGGTGCATTCGCCGAGATCCGCGCGGTGGATATGGTCATTGATGGACGTCCCACGAGGAAAGGAAGCATCATTCACAACGCGCCACTTGTTGGGGTCAGGTGGCTTTGGTACAATGGCGACTGGGACCGAGTTGGCGTACGGTAGGGCGCGCAGGACGCTGTGGGGTATATGTGTGCGACGACCGAGCGCAACCTCCTCTTCCATATTATCCTTGAAGGCCTGTGCGTGTATATCGGCAGTGGGGTGGTTCTTATGGAGTGTGTGATGCGCGCGCTCCTCGTTGAGACGGTACTGCAAGGGGAAGCCCGACTCGAAGCCGCGGCACAGCTGATCCAGTACCGGCTGGTTGGGGAAATCTCGACAGAGGCGGCGGAGGGCGTTGGTATTGATTGGTGTGGGAACTTTGTATAGATTTGCAGCAACGAGATAGTGGACGGTGGTCAGTTCGGCGGGTGAAAGGCTGGCTTCAGGTAAGGGAGGTGCGGCAAGAATAGCCTCCCGAGTAGGACGTGTGGGGGGGTTATCATAAATAGGGCGGAGGTTTCGAGGAACAATGTTGAAGGCGGAGTCCGTTTTGATCGTATTGTAGGACATCTCCGACGGTCGATCCTCAGAGAAGCTGAAAGGTGCCGCCGCCGTCGTGCGCTCAGTTGATTTATGCTCGGGCGGGGAGGTCTTGAGTGGGCGGTTCTTGACGTTCCGAGGTTCTTTTGGGGCAGCGGGCAGCGCCGTGCGTTGTCGTTTGACAGATGCGGCAGTGGTGCGTGTATTTGCAAGCGTTGCCGTACGTACACCTTCCTTGGTTGAATTGGATGCAGTATTGTGGTCCTGATCGTGGGGTATAAGCGCTGGTTGTCCTTGATCGCCCCTGGTTAAAAGGAACATGGCGAGCAGAGGCGCGCAAGGCCAACGGAGTGAGGAAGTGTCTCTGGTAGACGTGGGGCGCTTCCTGATGGAGAGGGATGTGGGCATTGTCTTCCCAGTGCCGTCGGCGCATGCGATTGTAGTCATAAACAATTTGCCAGTTAGAATGGTCCGCGGTGTTGGCGAGATCGATGATGTGTTCTTCGTAAGCGTCGAGCAAATGGCGAAGGGTGACGTACAACATAACGTATATCTTGCGTATATGTTTCCAACAGATGATCCAGTCCCCCAAGGTACCGATGGGCCGTTTGGCTTGTTTTTCATAAAGGCGCAAGGACTGGGAGGGACCGCCGACGAGGAAGATTTCGCCAGATCGATTGAATGCGTAGCGGAGATCGGGATGCACTTTCTCCAATTCCACGAAGCGCAGCGAAATGATGGCGTTGAGTTCGGAGTCAGGGAGGACCGGAGCCCCCTTGAGTAGGAGCATCTGACGAATTTTGGTAAGAGCTTTGATGTTCGTATTGCGTCGATCGAGTGCGAGTTGTACATCTGGGTCAACCGACGAGAGGGCATCTTGGACGGGACCCGTGCCGACTTGACGCACGCCGTATGCTTCTGCGAGTGCGCGGTCGCGGTCCGACTGAGGGGCGAAGTCGATCGCGAATGGCGAGTCTTCAGCGGCTTGGGGAATATCGGAGGATAGAACGTTGCCAAGGCTTTGTAAGAAGCGCATGGCAGCGTTTTCGGTGTCCACATCTTCCTTGCGACGCTTCGGCTTGGGAGGAGCCTCATCCGCACCGCCCTCACGATCGTCATCGGAGTCTTCACGGGTGCGTATATGTTATGGACGACGCGTCCATACCATGCGCTTACCTCATGACAGCATCCCAACAGTCAGTCAATGTCAATTCCCTGTCAAAACCTGACATCTGCCAAACCTCGCAGCCGCACGCAGCCGCGCTACCCCACACCTGCCACTGCCTTCATTTCTCCACGCAGCCGCACGTAGCCACATCTCCCAACACTCGGCGCTTACAAACGCTTCTCCATACTTCCCCACGTACCCGCCCACAGCCTCAGCGTAGCCACCCCATCCCCAGTCTTCTGTTTCTATGCTTCCCCCACCCTTGGCGCTTCTCTTGGCTTCCCTCTCATTCCGTACCCTTCTGCTTCCCCACGCTTCCCCAGCCTTCCCAGAAAAACATAAATAGCCGCCTCCCCTGAGCTCCCCACTTCCTGATCCCCCAGCAGATCAACACCAGTTCTTCCTAGTCTTGTTCTAGTTCTCGTTTCGGTCTGAATACCATTACCTGTCAACAACCTGCACCACAAGTCGCCTCTATTTCCATCGGCTCCGCCCATTCATAACAGTTTGATCTGCTCAACAACCCCCAGCCGCTGTGCCTCCACGCCAAATCACCATGTCCGACGCCCTTCCCCTCACGGCCGAAGCCTGGCAAGCCATGTGCAATGCGATTGACGAACTTCGAGCGCAGAATACCACCCTACAAGCCGAACTAGCGCAAACCCAGACCACTGCCCCTGCCACTCACGCCCCCGAACCCAAAATCAGTCTCCCAGACAAATTTGATGGCACCCGAAGCAAGTTCCGTGGGTTCCTCAACCAGATCCGGCTCATGTTCGCCCTCCAACCCAGGCGCTACCCCAACGATCAGACCAAGATACGAACTATTGGCACCTACCTCACTGGCACCGCGCAGGCTTGGCTGGCGCCCCTTATCGAACAAGACCATCATTCCCTTACGAACCTGGATGATTTCATCCAGCAAATGCAAGCAGTCTTTGGAGACAGCGACAGGATCCGCACGTCCGAAAACAAGCTCCAGAACCTTCGACAAACCCGTGCAGCAACAGAGTATGTAGCTGAATTCCGACAGCTGCAATGCGATGTGTCGTGGAATGACCAGGCATTGATTGCCACCTTCCGTCGCGGCCTCAAAGAAGATGTCAAGGACTTAATGCTCACGATGCCCCCTACCGCCTCAATCGACACCGTGATGGAACAGGCCATCCAATGTGACAACCGATTGTTTGAGCGCCGTCTAGAGCGAAGCAGGAACCGACAGCCATATGTGCCAGTTACCACTAGCCCCACCCTCATGAGCCCCGACAACCGCCCAAACGACCCTATGGTCATTGACGCTGCTCGTCCGCGAGGACCCCTCACACCGCTAGAGCGCCAACACCGCATCACAAACAAACTTTGCCTCTATTGTGGTAAACCTGGCCACATAGCCAAACTCTGCCCAAACAAG